TTGTAATTAATGAGGTCAGATTCATAAACTCTCATAGCCTTGCCACAGTGGTTACAGGTTTGTCCATGTGTTTGCTGTCATGAGTATAAATGTTTACATTTGTGTTTGTGCATGCACATCCAATTGTTGTGGTTGGGAAGTAAATATGCATTTATGAGAGATCTTTTGAATGTTTTACAAAATCTTTACCTCAAACTCAAGGTTATTTTCTATGGTTATTTGAAGATACAATGATCTGACTGTATGTGTGTGTGTACATCTGCACAGTGTGAATCTGTCACGGGCCTCACCTGGGGGCTTACGCTGGGGCCGTAGCCCATGCCGGGCGAGTTCATGGAGTGGGGACCCATGGGCGAGCTGATGACGGAGAAGGGCGAGGCCAGGCCGTTCATGGGCGAACTCAGCGTGCTGATGGGAGAGTGAAGAGAGCCGGAGGGCCCCATGGACGTTGGGCTGAGCAGAGACGGGTGCATTCCCCGGTGGGACGTGGGCGAGCCCAGGGGCGAGGAGGTCACCTGGCCCGACGAGTCTGTCCGGAAAAATGACAAAAAAGGGAAATTAGAATGAACTCTTGATCGTTTTTATCATTTTCACTGCTATCCTTTATTATAAAATCTCTACAGATTTAGTCAGCATCATGTCGTTTTTGATTAAGAAAAACCATCCCGCTCAAACTCAGCAAGTATTTAAAACCCGAGGCACATTCAGACTATGTAATTTCAATATAAACCATGTTGTTCACATAAACCTTTAGATTTGTCAAGAGGCTGTTTTCACACTACAGCTAATTTTAAGTTGTTGGCACCAAGAATCCAGCACATCTGGTGAAGTGTGAAAGCAATTGTTGAATCTGAGTGCGGCCCAGGAAAATGGACGATTCAGCAAAAACACTTGAGACAATGAAATCCAACAACAGCTTGATAGCAAAGCCTAACATGCGAGTCGATGGAGGCCGACTATGATGTCCACCCCGTAGTTCTCTTGCTCGCTCCTGCACCACTTCTGCCCCTCAATGAAGAGTTTCCCTTGTCAGAAGTGCTTCCCTCTGGGATCTTTGAGGACAGGATGTATATCTATAATGTATTTGGTTGATGAGTGCAGTACTGGGCCCAGGAGGATTGTATATACAACCTTGAACTAGAGGCTGAGGGGAAATCTGCAGTGAGGTTGAAGTCAGAGGGAGGGATGAGGATAAGGTCGTATACTGTACAAGAGCTCATGTGCTCTTTCTGTCTTTCTTCTCCCTCCTAGACGTCGTCCCGCTCTTTAGCCCAACTGAGCGGGGCCATCAGCTGTCAACACAGAAGATATGGGGCAGGCAGGAGTGCGAGCAAAGAAGGAGGGGAACTCTGGTATGTCACTGAGAATTTGGCGACAGGGTTGTATGTGTGCTGATAACTCCCTCACTCCCTGTCTCGTCTTTCACCACAGCCTTTCACCGCCGCTTACTTTTTATTTATGATTATCTCTGTCTTTCCTTCCATTCGCCTCTTTTCTCTGTCCATCTGCTATTTCTGTCTCATCCGAACATCATGGAAGAGGGTCTCTTTTGTATATTTGAGCAATTTCTTACTCAATTACACTTGTTTTTAAATCTGAAAGTGTTTTGATCAACAGAAAATGCATCTACAATTATTAAACTGCAATTCTATAAAAAAAATAAAAATAAATTTAAACATAGTTTTGGCTTCTCAAACGTGAAGATTTGCTGCTTTTCCATAGCTTACATTATAGTAAATCGATTATCTATTACAGGAATATTGCATCAATGTGATGAACCATCATTTTCAGGTATTTAACATTCCCACCTTGCTATTTTATCTATCAACTGTGTCTCAGTTCAATATCCAGAAACAGTACACCACGTAAAAATGATATACGCTGGTACAATCCTAATGGCTCAATCCTACAGCTGACATACGGCCGCTTAGGTTCTCTCCTCTGATGAGTGCTTTGTCCCGACATACCCTCTTATACCATGTCCTATTCTGACACCACAACTTTGCTCTCCCCGCAGTGGGGACATAGACTAGTTATGCAATAAGTGGGCTTGTCTATCACACTCCCCCGTTTCATAAGTGGTCACCAGGTTCCTCTGTTTCCGCTCCGTGGACTAAAACTGACGGATGGCTCAATTAGTTGACAGCTGGGAGTAAAGAGTCCAGTTCACAGCAATTTTCCTGGAGTGTTTCGTCTCTGTCCCAGCTGACTTTACATGATTTTTTGTTGTTTTTTTTTCTGCGTGTGTGTGTTATTTGTGCATGTGTTCCTGTTTTAAAATGTCTTGTGAATGCAGGAAAAAAGGAGTCTGTGCATCTTTGTCCCCTGCATCAGCAATCCTCAGGACAGCAAACTAGCTGGCAGCTCAGCCAAGCCAAACACTTCCTGCACATCCTGCTCGCCCAACGAGCACTTCCTGTAAGCACACACACACATACACACATGGGCCCCATACTTTTCAAAACAAACACACATCCTTCTTAATAAAGGGCTAACAACAGCTCTCCATCTAGCTGTATTAGTTCGGCACTTAATCCTCTGACTGATATCCCTCGAGCTTCTATTCCTCTGATTACATTTTTTTTCTTTCCTAAAATGCGCCCACACACATAATTCCTGAAAAATAAAATAAATAAATAAAAAGCTTTCCCTGAGCCAACAATTCCCATAACCCTTCCCCAATTGGGTTTTAATTCAGGCAGATAAAGCGAGCTGGGGTATTAAGGTTGCCAATCTGCCATTGTAGGTCTCAGCAGGGGGGAGCTCAGCTGACAGTCCCAGCAAGGCCCCACCTCGAGGGGGGCAACAGAGACAGGCTGGGAGGTAGATCAGACTGTTTACGTCTCTTTCTCTCCCATTCATTCCTTATGTCTCTCTCTCCTACCTTTTTTTGGGGGGAAGCGGAACAAACAGAGCAGAAAATTTACTGAAAAATCCCCAAACATCTGACGTTATCAACAACTCTCTGATGCTCTTTTTCCAGATGAACATGAAACTATGGGGCCATGTGGTAATATTGTATGTGAACATATAGATGTCTCACAGCAAAATGTGTGTGTGTGTGAGAGAGTGTGTGTATGTTTATTCTTGTTAGAGCTGGGTTGCCAGTATAGGATTACAGCAGGATGAAAAGGACTCTGTCCTAATCTTCCCCAGAGTGGAGTGGAGAGGAGAGGAGAGGAGAGGAGAGGAGAGACTGAAAAGGCATAGAGAACAAGGAGAAGAGAGAAAATGAAACAAGGAGAGGAAAGGAGAATATAAAAAAAGGTATATGAGGACAGGAGGAATTGAAAAGATGTACGGGGAAAGGCGAGGAGCGTAGAAGAGAAGAGCGGAGCGGAGGAAAGGGGAGGAGGGAAGGAACTGAAAAGCGTGCAAGGAGATAAAAGGAAAGGAAACAAGGAGAGAAGATGAGGGGAGACGAGGAGAAGAGGAGAGAAAAGTGGACAAGAGAGGAAAATAAATGATAACACAAGACAGGACTGGAAAGTTAAGGACAGGACAGAACAATGGAAGAGAAAAAAAGAAAAGATAAAGTAAAGATTTAGTGTCACATCCACACTCCTGCCTGTATTTCTGTTGAACCTGTTGAACTGGAAAAGGAAAACTGTTTTACCAGTAGTCAGAGCGAGGGCAGGCCACAGGGAATAAAAATTATTGAAGCATCCAAGAAATGAGTTGAAGCTGCCCAGGTTCCCTGCGTGCCAATATACAAAAAAATTAACTCGTGTTAAGATAGGGGCTGAAAAGTGCTTCTGAGCCTCTGCCTGTCTATTGGCCTGGATCACTGGGCCCACAACAGCACAACTGACAGCTACAAATAAGCAAATTAGGGCCTATCTTACCGGCAGGCGCCGACAGATTTCACCACTTATCACTTCTGTACTCCATACAAGCATCTCCTATTTCTAAACAACGCTCCCCCCCCCTACTCTCTCGCCTTTCTTGCTCTTTTGTTCCACCGTTGGGTGTGATCACAGAGGAAATTTGCCAATTTGTGTTCTGGCAGCGGATGGTTTGTGCATTTAGAATATGATGAATGGATGATGGAGATGAGAGTGGATGATGAGATGAAAAGAGACGGTTCGCAACAGAACAGCGGACGGCGAATCTTTAAACGCCTGAAACTACCTTTGTTTACAGTTTTCTGACAGGTGATCGGTTGCGGCTGTGATTAATGACCATCCTTTACGGAAAAAGCTGTCATTTGTTCAGCAGCAAAGGCGGAAACACCGTTAAGTAGCACAAATTTCTTCGCAATGAAAGCGACAGGAATTTTAGAGGCGTCATGATTGCCATGAAAAGAATGGTTTGGGCGCAGTGGGTCTAGATGCTTTAACTAAGGAAGAGAAGATGAAATCCACCTCAAGCTTAGTTTAAAAGCGCTTCTTTTTTTGCCACCACACTTAACTGGTGTGGCTGGTTGGGCATGCAAAGCACCCAACTAGCGTGCCAGAAGCTACAGTTTACATGTGGTCGCCTTCTACTGTCAACATTGTTTTCCTTTACCCATGAGGCTGAGCATCTGCTACCTTTAACCAGTAAGTTTTAGTTGCCTAAACTTAACCGGACACTGGTGGCAGATCAGAAAGCGCTCATATGAATCATGTTCCCAACAGTCCTGTGGGTTGTTTTGGGAGGCAGTGACAAACTATTCTGCCATTTAGGTATAAGGTCATGTTGAGTGAAAAGCTAGTGAAGTGGAAGAGGAGGATGGTCTGTGGTCTCTATAGTTACACTGAGTCCCTGATACTCTAATTGTTGGCAGGGGGGGCATGTCCTGAAGGAGCACAGCGGAGGGTGCACTGTTTGTCAGCTAATCAGACGCTGTGGTGAAAGGTGAAAGGCTGCGGAGGGCCTCTTTAACAGAAAGCTACCTGACTTTCCATCTCTCCTTACTTCTTCCGTCATTTAAAACCTCGGCGTGAGTCAAGTGGCTCGACTGATGACAGGGGACAACATTTGCTCCATCGCTGTGGTGTTGTTTGAAACAGAGACTCTGATTTGGCAGAGATGGTTTGTAGTTCCTGTGTGTCAAGATAAAAATTACAGGACGGGCAATGATTAATGTGAAAAAAAAGAAGACAGATTAGTACGTCTGCGCCACATAATGATGTTTATTTAGGCCTTCATGAAAGCCCTATGTTATTACAAGCTTAATCTAGTTTTTAATTGGTTTACATATTGGCTATCTGAAATGTAGCCCGTGTTTTCTCTGGTGTGTTTTGTGTATTTCTGTGCATATGAGGTACAGAAGACTATTTGTAAGCCACTTGGATACAAACTTGTTTTGTTTTTGAAGCACTAAATACATCAACTTGAACTTTTCTTGCAATATACCGGATCAATTGACCTCTTCGGGACTGAAAAGAAGGAAAGAAGAGGGAAAATTGCAGCTCATACACACACACACACACAACCTGTGATGAGGGGTTACAGCCCAAAAAAAGATTAAGAACCACTGCCTCCACCACAGCTTTTATGAAGAATACAAATGACTGCTGGCTGCAGAGCTAATATGAGTGGTTG